GCATCTTCCTTTTGAATTAATGTTTGGATTTTTTTGGAATCAATACCCAGAAGTGGAATTGCTGGGTCATATTAGTTCTATTTCTACTTTTTTGAGAAACCTCCACACTGTTTTCCACAATGGCTGTACCTGTTTACATTCCCACCAGCAGTCTACGAGGTTCTCCTCCCTCCATGTCCTCGCCAGCACTTGTTTGTTGGTTTGTTAAGGATATTCTGACAAGTACGAGGCAATATCTCATCGTGGTTTTAATTTGACATTTCTCTGATTATTAGTGATGTTGAGCATCTTTTCATCTCTTTATTGGCCACATGTGAAACCTCTTTGGAGAAATGTCTGTTCAGGTCATCTGCCCATCTTTTAAAATTAGATTGTTTGGGGTTTCATTTTTTCTTCGTGTGTGTGCGTGTGCATGTGCGTGTACGCATGTGTTAAGTTATATAGATTCCTTATATATTTTGGGTATTAATTCTTATTGAATTTATCATTGGCAAATATATTCTCCCTTCCAGTAGGTTCTTTTCATTTTGTTGATGGTTGTCTTTGCTGTGTAAAAACATTTTAGTTTAATATAGTCCCATTTTTTTGTTTCCTTTGCCCAAGGAGACATACAAAAAAAATAGTACTAAGAGCTATGTCAAAGAGCATACTGCCTATTTTCTTCTAGGAGTTTTATGATTTTAGGTCTTATATCTGTGTCAAGTTTATTCTTGTATAAGAGAAAGTGATCCAGTTTTTTCCAATACCATTTATTTAAAAGACTGTCTTTACTCTGCTGTATAGTCTTGCCTCCTTTGTTATGGATTAATTGACCATACATATAGGCAAGTGTTTGTTTCTGGGCTTTCTAGTCTGTTACTCTCATCTACATACCTGTTTTAGTGCCAGTTTTAAAGGCAGTCATTATTATATAAATATGAGAAATGATGATCATACTTCCGTAATTCTGGTATGCTGCTTCCAGAGACGGGTGTGGGCGTGTCCAGTGTGCAGACTCCTGGTCAATGGTCACCGAAGTAGATGCCACCTTTTGCTTAATATTATTTTTTTAATGTCTAATTCTGATGAAACTAAATGTATCAAAATTATGTACATTAAAAGTTATTTGTGTAATTTCCATATGAAGTTTGATGTATTAATGTTAAAATGTAAAATTTTAAGGATTGGTTTTTTTCTCTTGCTTTCTACCCATTCATGAACAGGACCTACTTTTAATCATCATTTACCATCCATTATTCATCCAGTAATAGAATTTAGTTATCTATGAATCATTAAGCAGCCCTGACTGATGCGGTTGTTTGTGCAGTTAGAAGACTGTGCCAGCCAAGTGTGATTTCCTTATAAGAGCTGGGGAGGGCGCTGTTAGAGACGTCGGGGTAATACAAAGCAACTGTTGGCACATCTGTGATCACAGTTTTTCTAAAATCACTTAGCCTTTTTAATGTATAAAGAGACACATTTTTTTCCAAACTTGAGTGTGCAAGAAATGTCTGTTTTCTCTAAATCAAGTTGAGCCTGCTTCAAGCCCCCTGTCTGGGAGGTAGAGAGTTAAATCTGTCACTCTGGTACTTTGCACCCTCTCTCGGGAGGCCATGTAAAGGTCTGTATGCAGAAAGAACATTCAGGAAAAACTTCTCTGGTCTCCAGTACATACCAGTTACCATGACTACTGTCCAAACCACCATGGTCCTTTGTAACCAGACACTTTGCAGCACTTTTGGGAGCAGGAATCTGGCTAGAGCCAGGAGTCCCTGGGGCTGGGATCCTGCTTTCCTTCATGTACCACAGCTGCTCCTGTCTCAGGTTTAACCCTCCCCCAGACATGCAGCTGAGGAGAAAGGCACGGGTTTCCATTGCTTGGAAATCCATGGCCTTTGGTCCCTTTCCAAAGTTTAGGACAATATCCCTGTTTCTTTGGCTCTTGTCTCTTCTCTTTTACCTGCTAAAGGCCTGTATTTGCCTTTCGTCTCAACTCACAACATAATGAATGCCCTCTTTAAACTAAACCTTGGGGAGGACTTCCGCCACAGTGGAGGCATAGGTGGAGACTCTGTGCTTTCTCACACAACCAAGTTTAGAGACAACAAAATATTAGCAACAGAAAACATAGCCAGAACACAGAAAATTGAACTTTTTGGAAGTCTGATAACAACAAATTCTTCAGCCTGACCGGTAAGAGGGGCAAAACCAGCAGCTGGTGGAGCAGGGTTGCACAGGAAAACTAGGTCAGACGGACTCAGGCACGCGGATCCCAGGCGGGAGGTTGCAAAGGGCTGACCCAGTGAGCGACCAGCGGATCCGGCAAGGGTGAAGGGCGGCGGGTTGACTGGGCTGGTGCATTCCTGCGCAGATAGATTGGTGAGGGAGTGGGCAGTGAGAGGGACTGAGCGGGTTCCAGCTTCTGGAGGCAGCAGAGACGGCTGCCATTTCCTGGCTCTGACCCTGCCCCCACATACAGCGTCACAACCCAGTGACCCCGCCCTGGAGGCCCCGCCCCATCCCTAAGGCTCTGCTCCTCATACTTAATGGGCGCAAACAAACCAAAAATGGCTCAAGAAGATCTCAAAGCCCCAGAGCCCATAAATCTAAGTGATGAAGAAAGAACAAAACTTTCAGATACACAGTTCAAAACACTGGTGATCAGGATGCTCACAGAAATGGTCGATTTTAGTCACAAATTAGAGGAACATATGAAGGCTAAACTAATTGAAATGAATGGAAATGCACAGGAAACCAATAGTAATGGAAAGGAAACTGAGACTCAAATCAAAGGAGTGGACCAGAAAGAGGATAAAAATGACCAAACAGAAAAGGATGAAGAAACAAGAATTCAAAAAAAATGAGGAGAGGCTTAGGAACCTTCAGGACATCTTTAAACGTTCCAACATCCAAATTACAGGGGTACCAGAAGGGGAAGAGGAACAGCCACCAGTGGAAAACTTATTTGAACAAATAATAAAGGAGAATTTCCCCAATCTGGCAAAGGAAATAGACTTCCAGGAAATCCAGGAAGCTCAGAGAGTCCCAAAGAAGTTGGACCCCAAAAGAAACACACCAATGCACATCATCATTACATTAGCCAAGATTAAAATGAAAGACAGATTCCTAGAAGCAGCAAGAGATAAGGGGACAGTCACCTACAAAGGAGTTCCCATCAGACTGTCAGCGGATTTCTCAAAAGAGACCTTACAGGCAAGAAGGGGCTGGAAAGAAGTATTCCAAGTCATGAAATCCAAAGACCTACAACTAAGATTGCTCTATCCAGCAAAACTTTCATTTAGAATGAAAGGGCAGATAAAGTGCTTCTCAGATAAGATCAAATTCAAGGAGTTCATCATCACCAAGCCCTTATTATATGAAATGTTAAAGGGACTTACCTAAGAAAAAGAAGATAAAAAAGATGAACAGTGAAAGGACAGCAAACTCACAGTTATTAAGAACCACACCTAAAACAAAAGCAAACTAAGAGGATAGCTAGATCAGGAGCAGAACCATAGAAATGAAGAACTCAGGGAGGGTTAGCAACAGGGGAGTAGGAGAAGGAGAAGGGGGGAGAAGGTACAGAAAATAAGTAGCATAGACAGTAGATAGAAAATACATAGGGGGGAGGGTAAGAATAGTAGGGGAAATACAGAATCTAAAGAATTTGAGACACATGTTCATGAACTAAAGGGGGAAATGGTGGGGGAGGGGTATGCAGGGTGGAGGGGGAAGGGAGGGGGGAATAGAGCAAATGTAATGGCATAATCAATAAAAAAATAAATTAAAAAAAAAGAAAAAGAAGATAAAAAATGAACAGTGAAAGGTCAGCAAATGCAGAGTTATTAACAACCACATCTAAAACAAAAGCAAGCTAAAAGGACAGTTAGATCAGGAGCAGAACCATAGAAATGAAGATCTCATGGAGGGTTAGCAACAAGGGAGTGGGAGGAAAAGGGGGGAGAAGGTACAGAAAATAAGTAGCATAGAGGGTAGGTAGAAAATAGATAGGGGGAGGACAAGAATAGTATGGGAAATATAGAATCCAAAGAACTTGAGACACATGGTCATAAACTAAAGGGAGGAATGGTAGGGGTGGGGGGGTGCAGGGTGGAGGGTGGAGGGGAATGAAGGGGGGAATAGAACAACTGTAATGGCATAATCAATAAAATAAAAATAAAAAACCAAATAAAGTGAAAATGGAAGAGCAAAAAAAAAAAAAAACCAAGTAAAAAAAAACAACTAAACCTTGGAAGGCAAGTTGTCTTCAGGGTGTCTGGCACCACAACCCTCCCCAGGTTAGGGAACACAGACTTGTCTGCCTCCCGTGAACCAGGACTGGGGAATTGCACGGGTGCAAATGGGTGTCGCGGTCAGTTCTCTGTGTAATATTTGGCACACGTCATACTTAATATGATAATGGTACTAAAGAAATGGGAAAGCTCTATTCCCTTAAGTGTATTTGAAAAGTATTAAAAACACCTTTGTCATCCCCTAATGTTGTTGTCTTATATATATATTTGATATCAATATTACCATCATCCACAGAGTTAGCCTTCCAAACGAACAAAGTCGGCCAGCCCTTCATCTCCTCTTCTCAGTTCTGATCTTGCAGCAGGTGGAGGACAGAGGTCTGAATTCTTTCTCCATGCCCTGCAGTGTAGCACTGGAAACTTCTTTGGTAGATAGGATGGTGGTTTCTAACCTGTATTCCTAAGGAACTCGAGATTGTCCAGAGGACGAGATGCAAGAGAAAAATGAGACCAGGTGTGCAGGGTTCCAGGCATGCTGTCCCCATTTCACTCATGCTGGTTGTGCTTTTTCACTTTCTTTATGTATTAAATTCCTGGTAGAATTTTATTTTAATGAAGGATATATGCAATTTCATACATCCATTTGAAATCCGCCAGTATTTTGAGCTAAAGTCCTTCCTTTTTCAATAGTGTGATTCTATCATATGGCAATGACACTTCACCTTAAAATACTCTGTTGCTTAAAAATCATTTGTACAATAGGCCAAGTTTAGGGGATAATATGATTTATTTAGACTATCCATTGGTTCCTTTTCTGGTTAAAGGATACCCATCAAGGATGGTTGTTGATACAAATCTTGCTGCTTGTTCTGCTGAATTGTGGGTTCCCTTCAGTTGACATCCCTTCTCCGTTCACTATACAGAACAGTAAGCTCACAGAATGCATTAGGGAGCTCAACCCAAGTACTGAATCATGTTCTCAGTCAGAATTCAAAAATTTAACTCTTTATCGATGTTATTTTATGATTATACTAATCATTATATACATTTATATCTAACTACTGGTTCTTTTTGAGTAATTAAAATTACTCAATAACAAATGATCTGGAAGGTTTTAGAGTTCCATTCAGACTGCAGTACCTAAAATAATTTTTAAATGGCTAATTTTACTTAATTATGTATAGCCTAGCCAAATAACATGTATAACTTTCATTAGAATTAGTTTCCATGAAACAAGTTTAAATTAACTATTCATATTAAATATGTTTGATAACATTTTTTATTTTAGGACACTTATTTTTTGGTTGTTAAGAACACAGTTGAATGAAGCTATTTCAGGCTCAGACATTTGAGTAATACATCTAATGTTGCAGCTTTCAGAACAGAGTCCCTTTTTTCACCCTGCTCTGCTACTACTGCCCTAGTACACAGACCTAAGAATGTGTGGTGTCTACTCTGCAGGCTGAACACTATGATTTTTATTCCTATTAGTATCGAATACTGAAATTAGAATAGTCCAGCTTAGAGATGGTTTTTTCGTTAGAAAAGTTCGTGCGGTCAATGCGAGAACTGGGACTTCCAACCTTGCTCAGCCAGGACTTCCTGCAAAACACAAACAGATAAATGCAAATGAGCATGTAAAGTGTGATTCCACAGTGGGAGTTACTTACTTTTACTAAGTAACTTTTGCATATAATGGAAAATAAGAATTTTTTATACTGCATACATCACATATGTATTAGAATACCACAGAGTCTACTATATAATTACATATGGACAAAACAAAGCTAATACCAAATTAAATACAGTCAACCAGTGTTTTTGAAGTTATTTCACCCCTCTTAAAACATCCAAGGCCATTATTACTTAGCTCTTGAGCTACAGAAGAGGATTAAAATATTTTTACAAAGAAGTAGTAAAAATATTCTACCATTATTTTATTATCCAGCACATGGTAGGTATGGCAGCATGGAGGGAGGAAGGGAGGACGAGAAGGGGAAAGAATGGATGAAATCATTAAGAATGTGATTTTCCATAAACATTAAAATTAGATAAATGTTTTTTCTTATTTATCAAAAACATTTCTTACCACATAGTAGCAAATTGGCTGCATTTAAGGGACAAGTTAAATGTTCTGAAACTGTTTTTCTGTTCATATAGTGCAATGGTTTTTCTTAATTTATTAGCAGTATCCATGTGTTTAATTTACGCATTTGGGTACTCACCCAAGATGCTTCCTATATAATCAAGGCTTATTGTAACACAGTTGACAACTCAGATAGTAGTTGGGAAGACAGATGGAATGGGACTGCAGGTTAATAATACGAGGCCATTTCACACCAGTGGTGGCAGTTACCCCAGCTTTCACAGAAACATCCCGTGACTTTCCTCCTGTCTCCAAAGTTCTTTCAGGTTGTGAAACTTGTGCTGTGTAAGCTGTGCAATATCATATTAATGATCTCATGGAATTTAAAACACTTTCTAGGCTAAAGTCTGACTAGCTGAAAATTACTGCTCGGCAAGAGAAGAATTCTAATGCTTCAAATTGCCATTGTGCTGGGTAACTCTCTCTCCAGTTCTTCTTTGTAATAGTTTTACTGGGAAAGGCGAATTTTTCCCTTCCTGCTTTTTTGGAAGCCAAGCCACGAGCACAGTGGCACATGTTCTTTACCTCATTTAATTGAAATCTTAAGAAGTGGAAATTGCATGTGTTGAAGAATAAAATCAGTTATCATGAAAAGAAGCTGATGACTTCAATTATACAAGTCGGATCTCCTTACAACCTTCTAGAGAAGAAAAGCCAGAGATAACAGAAGCTAACACTTACTATGAACCAACGCCCAGCACCTTGCTAAGTTCTTTCCCTATACTGTTTCTCTTAGTCCACACATTAACCCTGTGAGTTGTAGTCTATTATGACTCCTAGATTATTGATGAGGAAAGAGACACAGAGAAGAGTTAAGTCACTAGTACAGGGTATTACCGTAGTTTACAGGGTGGTGATGGCGAGGGATGAGATTCTGGATGAGTTTTGAAGGTACAGTCAAAAGATTTGCTGAAGGATTGTGGTGAGAAAGGGAGGGGACTAAAGGATGATGTCAGGGGTATACATCTGAAAAACTACCTGGATGGTGCTGTCACTCACTGAGACGGAGAGGCTATGAGAAGAGCAGATGGAGGGAAGAGCAGTTCAGTTTCGAGATGGAAGTCTGAGGTCTCTATTAGACAGCTAAACAAGATGTTGACCGTGCAGGTGAATCTATGGGTGTGGCTGGAGCGGATAAAGTTTAGAATTTGTTGGCAGATAAAACTGAAAGCTGTAAGACTGCATGGGATCACCAAGAAAATGAATATAGATAGAAAAGGGAAGAGGTCCAATGACTGACTTCACCTTAGATCTACCCTGTGTTAAGAGCTCAGGAAGAAGAGAAAGAACCAGAAAAAAGAGAGGAAAGCATCCAGTGAGGTAGGAGAAAAGCTGGGACAGCCTCATGTCCTGAGTCAAATGAAGCCCTCTGGGGGCAGGGAGGGGGCCATCGGGCGAGTGAATGCTGCTGCCCGCTGGTCAAGTAAGGTGAGGACTGAGAACTGGCCACCGGAGTGCACTGGTGGCCCTGACAAGAGCAGTTTGGTGATTGAAGGCCATATTTGAATAGGCTCAAGAGAGAATGAAAAGAGGAAATGGAATCAGTGATGGATAGTGAGTCTAGGAGCTGCAAGGAACTACTCCACCAGACCCGATATTTCAATGTATTTAACTAGTTGAGAGCCTGACTGCCTACCTCAGCTGGCCTTCCACACCGCTGAGAACCTCAGCAGCCAGACCTGTGGCCAAGGCGGCATCTATGCCCTGGTGGGGGCGGAATGGTCGTGCTGTTAGTTGATTCGGCTCCATTTACACCCTGTGTGTTTGTGTGTGTCAGAGGAGGGCCACTTTGTGCTGTGGCTCCCCACACACCACCCCTGGTGCTAGGAACCATCTTGCCTGACCTGCCTGCTCACTTAGGAGTGTTCTGGTCACCAGTCACTTGGCGAGCCCTATGACCTCAGTCTTCATGTGCTGCTCCTGCAATCGGCCTGTGACGGGTGTGGTTCAGGTCTGGTGATGGCAGGACAGTTCTTCTAAGCAGAAAAGAGCTAGTCACAAAATTTCATGCAAATTTATATCTGATTACTGAGGATTGGATACACACACACACACACACACACACACACACACACACACACCCTTAGTGTAGAGAAAAACCACATAATCAATCATGACCAGCTAATTCAATTACACACATATTTAAGTGGCGTTGAATGCAAGGTATATTCTAGATACTGGCATTTCTTCCCTCAGTTACTTACCATCTACTAGAAGAGTTTAGAGACTAATAAAAGTAACTAATAATAAGGCAGGATGTGATGTCCAATGTGATTTTTATATAAAGTGGGGGAGGAATTGAGGCTAACTTCTGCCCAAGTCACTCAGGGATGTCTTTGTGGTAGCAATGGCATTTCAGCTAGGTTTTAAAGAAAATACCATTGAGTTTTTCAAATCTTAGAATGGGGAATAGTAATTTAAGCATGCCAGGAAACCAAGAAGAATAGGAAGAATATTGATAACATTAACTAATTAAAAAATGTAAAACTTTTAAACGGTCAAAAAATGTCTCAAGCTGAGCCAAAACAAAGAGCAAACTGGAAAACTTATTTGCGATTTTCTTACTATGTGAAGAGCACTTAAACATCAGTATGTAACCGTGGGAGGCAAGGAAAGGAGACAGGACAGGACAGAGGGGGAAGCTGGGCAGAGACGTCGCCTCCACGTAGCCCTCAGCCAACACAGCGGAGCTCTGACGCTGGAACGCCCTTCAAAGCTGTCCAGAGTTGAGGCGAGAGGGCTGGGTCTGCGTATCCCCCCACGAACCAGTCTGTGGAGAAAAGCCGCTCAGAGAAGGAGGTGTGACCTTTAGTGCTTCCTTCTGCTGAGGCCGTTCTGGACTGAGGGCCACGTTCCAGCAGCACCTGCAGCATCTGGGGAAGAAACCCTTCAGTCCTGAAAGGCAATCTGAGTCCACTGCACACGTTCTCACACGTGGGCAAAGGGAATGAACTGAAGATGTAAGACGAGGGAAAGGCAGTTGGTGTGATGCAGTCCCAGGACAACGGGACACACCTAATCTGTACAGAAGAGAAGGCAACGGGGTCAAAATAATTGGAGAGCAATTTGGATATGAAAAGGCATTCACAGGTGATGGCCTCCGTTTTCTGAGTAAAATAAGAGGTAAGGTAATTTACTGAGGTGGAGATAGAGTTGAGGAGTTAAAGAAAAGGTGTTAATAATTGCCATAGGAGTTAACAAATGTTGACTGAAATAAAAGAATTAATAAAGAGCAATGAGGGCCCTGGAGGTTAGACTGGATGGCCCGGGGCCACCAACATGCCTGCCTGCAGTGCCCTGTGCTTCCCCATGGGCCTGTCTCGCAAGGGTGGTCCATGCTTGTGGGGAAAGGGGTCAATGCCTGGGCCAAAGGCTTCTCAATAAGGACCGTCCCCCAAGGGACAGACTGAAGAATTCGCTCAGATGTTTCCTGGAGTGAGCAATGGAATGTGGGGTCCCCATGTGGAATGGACTCGACTTTGGCCAGCTACACAGCTGTGGTCTTGTTTATCAGGGTGAGTTGAATGAACCATTTGAGTGGGGAGCCTCCGATTTGGGTATTTTTATATCATTTTTCTGGGACTAGTCAGATCCTCCAGGGAAGACATATCCAATATTCTGCCTAGAGTGCATAAACCTGGCTTTGCATGTTCTGGGACGCTGGGAAGGTTAAGTCCTCAACATTCGGTGTGTAACCTTTCTCTGAATCCCTTTGTTCTCAGCACCATAGCTTTTTTCCAGCTGTGCTAGAAGACCTCTCCAGAACATGAAACACTGGCTTCTGCTGGGTGTGCGGGACAGCTGCTCCCCAGTGTGGGGTTGGGGGAGGGAACTGCTCATTAAACAGATTTTCAATCAGTCCTATTTTTAACCCTACCTTTCTACCCACTTCCATCTGCCTTGTTGCAGGGGTGGGGCAGGGATTCATTGTGTTAAATGGGCCATTTCTCTGCTCCCATCCACCCAAGTCTTGATATTCAGGTCTGCATTACCACTAGCTCACCTGCTTTCTAATTTCCAGAGTTTTGTTCCTGTAGCTTTCTTTCCCATTCTTTGTTCTTGTGGTTTTTACTCATACTTGGGTGGAGTTTAGGGGGAAGCAGGTGAATGTATATGTTTAAAATGGCAACACCTTTAACTAAAAGTATGGCTTTATTCTTTATATTTAAATCTTCAATCCATCTGAAGTGTGATTGCATTTATGAAAAAAAGATGTTGTAATTTCGAGTGGCTAGGTATTTTCACCAGCACAACTATTACTGTATACTAAATCTGTGTATAATTCTATTTGGCTCCATTGATATCTTTGGTTAATCCATAAACTAGTTCCCAGCTACTTTAATTATTATAGTATTAGACTACATTTTAATGTCCAGCAGTCCTTACACTGCTCCCCCTACCTCATTAGTCTTCTATTTCTAAATATCCTTGTTTGTCCTACACTGTCTACTAGATT